ATGAGGAAGGGTCAGTGCTTGCTAGAAACAGAGAAGCTGGAAAATGAAGGGCTTATCCAAGCAGTCTTATTGCTATGTGCTGTATGTATATGTATGTTGTATATGTATGACCACTTTATGGTTAATGAGAACGGACGTGCACAGAAGAACGGCTGCAGTCTATGGGACCTGGCTGGAGAACAAGGGCTGGTCCAAACAGCAAGAGCAGATAAGCCCAACAGCTGCGGCAGACAACTGGTCTCGCACAGAGGCGATGCCACCGATAAGCCCGAGGAAGAGCGACACAACCAGGGGTCAAAAGATGAGATGTGATATAAGCCTTTGAAGACTCCAGCACATACGAAAAAAGCGTATTTTGGGGTATTTTCTGCACGTGCATTGGACAGAAGCCCAGCTCCACACTCCAGTGCCTTGGCTGGCCACCAAGCTGCACTGCAGGCAAACGGCATTGGTGAACCACAAAGAAGCTAAGAAAAAGTGAGTGAGTGAGCGTGTGCTTGTGCTTGCAAGCAGTGTTAGCTAATAAAGAACATAGATGCTCCTCCCCTGCTAACAACCTCACTTAAACAAGATACCTGAAGTATTAAGAACTATTAGCACCAGTTGTTACATTCAAAAGGTAAATGCATAACATACACACATCCAGGCTCCGAGTTACTGTCAGAAACATTTTACTTTCAGAGAGCTCTGCACAGGTACTAAGTCTCATGCAAAGAGTGTGCAGTTGCATCAAAGGAGCAGTATTTTATACCTACCTTCTTCAAATATATATGGAAACTCAAGGCAAGAGCAGAAAAGTCAGCCCCACTTACTGCCTATTCCCAACGGACCAGGGTAATGGAAACTAAAACAATCCTTCTTTCACCAAAATTATTTCCAAAAATTGAAGTGAGAAGTGATTGAGTGGGTTAAAAAGAATTTTTCTAAATAAAAAGAAAAGAATAATTATCTCCTGGGGGAAAACTTCTACACCCAGTTTTACATGGAGAGAAACCCTAACATTATAAAATCACTCAAAAAGAGGGTTATGCTCTGTAAATGGCAACTCCCTCACTCTTAACTGTAGTATCACAAATGCAATGCTATAATAACAGGAGACAGAAGGGTTTGATCAGTGCTTGGATTGCAGAGTAATAATAATAATATAGTACTTTCCAAAATTGCCTGAATAGTGTGAAATATACCACAACCTACAGAGTGAGTTATAAAAATGGCTGCTTTACATTGGGTGTTACCAACCTCTTTTGTCACTGCCAGAGAATAACTATAGCTCCCTTCGGGATGAAAGGTTCTATATAAAGGAAAGGTATCATTACAATCATTACTATTATTATTGAAATGCAAAACCTGTGAGTAATAAGCAAGTATACATGAAATTTCACAGTCATCCTGTGAACATATCCTATTAATGCAACTCAAATGCAACATTTCTCTCCCCTACCACACACCAATTGCCACAAGAATGGTGAAATGACCCTCCCACAGATGTCCTATAGAAGCTGTACACTTTTCTAAAGAACAGGGTTTGTGTTTGAATGTATAATGCATAATAAACCCCAAAAACGTGAAGTCCTGGAAGACAAGCAGAGGAAAAGTGTGCATTCTCTGCAAGCCACCTGGGATACCCAGCACTCAGAATTTCACACCTATACTAAAGTCTGTGTCTGCCTTGAGGAATCACTAGTGACATATAGAATCATAGAATCATTAAGGTTGGAAAAGACCGCTAAGATCATTGAGTCCAACCGTCAACCCAACACTACCATACCCACTAAACCATGTCCCTAATATAAATGTCCCTAATATAAATGCAGTATTGGAAAAATTTTCTTCAATTCGATATTCTCCACACAAAGTAATCATTTATGAGGGCCCTGCAGACTTTATTCTGCCAAATTTCCAGCCAAGCGCTCCTATAAAATCCTTTTGAATTCAACCAGTGTTTTGTGGTGGCCTCTAAAAGGGCCAGGACACTCGTCCAAAACAGTGCTCTGCCACCCCATCCACCCCGACAGGTGCAGCCTGTGCCCGTTGGCCACCTTGCTGCCCCGTGGGCCACGGGGACCCTCTCCGGCTGCAGGCAGCTCCAGAGCCCTGCCTGCAAACCAGAAACGTCTACATTTTTAACCAAACTGAAAATTTTTTCTGAGGAGTGTTCTTAAAGTAAAATACAGGAGGGAGGATAAGGGCTGGGCAAGGACTTCCTGAAATCAGTGGTTCAACTGGGCTGACAACCGGGTGCAATTTCAAAGACAGATTGAAAAGGCAAAATGAAATCAGGGAAGTGGAATGGGCACCTCTTTCCACGCAGGTGACTGCAGGGCTCCCGAGAGGCCCTCCCAAGTGCTTAACAGGGCTTATGCTGCAAAGCACTTGTTTGTGTGTCACCTTCCTCTGCTTTCAGTTTTGTGGGAAAAACTGCAATTTTTATCAGCAAAGCACAACTGCTTCCAAACAACACAGAAACAGTCCATAAGGGATTTGAGAGAGTCTCTTCTCTACTTGAAGTGCTGACAGTGTGCTTGGTTCCTAAAGAAAACATAGTCCCCGGCACCTTAGACTCTAATCCATATTGTACAGGCTTACTTACTTTCATTAAAACTTCAAAGTAACCTTCTGCATTCCCTGGGCTAATCGGAGTATAGGCTCGTTGGACCTCCAAACCATTCACCATTCCTCTGAGAAGAGAAATATAGGAACCCACTGTGACTTGGGCCATTGACTGGTATTACTAAACTTCTGCAGTTCTCTGGGGAAACGAGGGAGGCAGCAGGTCCTCTTCCCAAACGCCCAGCCTGTGTACAGAGACAAAACATTTCCCTTCCAGAGGTAAAAATCCAGGGGGAACATAATGGCTAAATGCACCTTTTGTTTTCCCGGTGGTGGCCCCAGATGTACCACATATTCAGCTTGTGGACACATCCCTAGAAGGACATCTGAGCTGTTTTGTGAGAAACAGCTGAATGTGCAAGACTGGCAAAGGGGAGGGAAAAATACTTTTGTGGTAAGTTTGCTATCTCTTTTGGGCTGGGGTCTGCTTTCCTTTCTGTGTTCAGACAGCATCTGCTAATGAAATAATGAAAGCCAGGGCACAGCCTTGACCTGAGGTCTTGTCAATATACAGTGTATTTTCCTGTAAGTCTTCTCTTTCCATAGAATATATCCACCCTGCTCTTTACTACTGACCACGGTAATTGATTGAAGTGACCGAACCTTTTCCACTGCTGCATTATGAGAGATGGCTGAAGGGAGAAGCGTGTACTTTCGGCAGCCAGCCAGCTGTACACATCAGCTGTTAACGTACAAATAACGTCAACAGATACAGATCAATGGCATCATAACATGACTTTTTCTATCTGGCAATGATCACCACAGATGGCCGAGAGAGACATAAACTTTTCCCAAGTGGCTCCTTTCTGGCAAGCAATAAACTAGGCAGGAGGGTTGTTTTTGTTAGAAATCTGTCAGGAAATGCCTGGACACCGGGGGTAACACTCCGGGTGCTGAGTTACCCCAAGATACACAGCCTAAAATACTAAGCTCTGGGATAAGTGCAACTCATTGTCTTCATCCCAACATGCTGGAGTAAATAATCTGTTGTAACATCTATTCTTTGACTCTTTCTTTCTGCAAATGGATTTTCTTAATCACACCTAGTTCTTTCTGACCCACCGACGCAAGGATAATGCTGAAGAAAAATATAGCTTTGGAATGGCTTTTACATTAAAATTAGTAGAGCTAACGAGCTCACAAGTTCTTTCATCTGTGTCATTGTGGAGGTATAGAAATTATGATTTGCCTGGTATGAAGCCTTTGTCTATTGACAAAAGCCTACGTATTAGGTTACATAATGCAGACTGTTTAACTAGAAAAGAGAACAATACCTTAACACGATATGTTGTCCTAAACTCAATCGCAGACTGCTATTTCCTGGTAATTCAAATTTGTACTGGTAGGTGTCCTCTGTTAGCTGCTCCACTGAGCTTATGTTGAATGCAGTAAATGTATCTGGATTCAGTTCTGAATTATTGCTCTGCAAGAACAACAATAAATAATTACTTGGTTAGATGGTGTCTTTTATTATTTCATTTTTCTTTGGAAGTAAACGTGTATGCTAATTTAGTGCCGGAGATACTCAGGACTCCAGAGGAACACCTATTAAATGCTGGGGCCCAGCGCAAATTTCAGCTCTCTGCTGATTCATTATCATGTTCTGCGGCATGCACTTTGGGATCTCGCATTTTCCCCCCCTCTTTTTAAATTACATTTTTACACCTTACAGCAAGGTCATCCTATTATGACTCTGCAATAATTTTCTCACGTCTGGAAACAAACAGAAATAATACTGATAAAAGAGTGGAGCGCTGCTCTGGGGGCAACTTTGAAACCTACTGATGACCACTACAAATAGGAAATATTGTTAGCTATTTCAGCACTGATCGTTTTTGCTTGACCCAGCATAGTTAATCTTAAGTAAAAGGGCACTGACAAGCTTAAAATTATGCTCTGAAGACAACTACTCCGCCACACACAATGCAGCTTTTTTTATCCTCAAAGTACGAGTCTAAAAATCAGGAAAAGAGAGCTTCTCCGAGGAAACTGTCAGAGAAAATTGTGAATCCTTGTACCTTTCACCCATTCCCACTTTCCAGAGAGGCTGGCTCTGGCTGGCTGGGGTACCCCAGCAAGGAGAAGCTGCAGACCCAGGGCTGTAATGTGACACCAGGGCAAACTCGACACTTGGAAAATCACATTACAGCAGGGAGAAAGCCGGCAAGGGGGAGGGTGGCTGTGAACGCAGAGCTTGGGGAATTGCGTTTACAGCCTTCTCTTAAGACATCGCTTTAATCTATTGCTGCATCCCTCGCCCATCACCACAACCCCACACGCTAACAAGTACGATCAAAGCACTGGCTCTAGGATGTGATGAAGATAAATTGACCTGCTCCTTCTTTTCCATGAGGAGGCTTTTGTCTCGCTTTGCTTTGGCCCTCTCCCATTGTGCAAGCTCCTTCTCGTACACATCATAGATGCAGGGTTTGCAGCCACTGCCGCAGCACTGGGATGGAGAAGGTTCCTGGGGTTTAAGAGCCAGCCAGTCGTCCTCATTTTCACTCATTGTCTGCAAAACATAAGCCCTGCAACAAAAAGAGCACGATGAAGAGTGGCACGTGCTCATCAGCCGAGCATTATTTGGAGAAGGACCGAGAAATCTCTCTCGAGCATCTTGCATGTGTATCTCAGGGAACTCAGAAAACTGAAAACCTGCAAGCCGATCTGGTGCCTGCAACGCTCCATTTTCATTCAAGTGCTCACTGCCTCTGCCTTGTCTGGTGCAG